CACGATAAGGGGTCTTTGGGAGGTGGGGTAGTAGTGGCGAGTCGTTAAATGCCGAGTGAATACTTCTTCGCAGACCCAACACCACTGATGTATTATTCAATATCTGTGAAGTGCTAACTGCACCTTCAGAACGTATGTACATTGTTCATTGATTTCAAAGAAGGCAATGGTCTGCCCAGGACTGTTGTACGTAGGCGATTGTCGAACCGATATGGTAATTGCTATTTAACGGCAATGCGAACTGGGGCAGTTAACCGACGAAGCCCACCTCCGATGCCTTCGGGTGACACAATAACAACGATACAAAAGTCCCCATTATCTGAACATAGTTGGCAACTGGTTTTGGCGTCATGAAAGGGCAGGAGAATATTTCTGAAGGTGAAAATGAAAACGTGTACTGCATATATATTTAAACCCATCGCCACTCTCGATGTCTTGATAACGGGAATGGATAGAAAAAAGCCAAGGAAAAGCACTCAATGTATTATCGCGTTACCGTGTGTGTTGTACGAACGAAACATGAATATTTAACAAATGTCAATGAGACTTGCAGGGCATATTACCACGGCCGCGGCTATTTATGCACGGTGCTGTTGCTCACAAACATTGATTTAAAAGTAGCTTCATTGCCATTTGCATATCCAATAGTACACAGTAGGCACATTTAGTGAACGCGACTCAAATTCGCGAAATTATATTTTTCACATGTGTTTACATGGCAGGCAAAAAGTCGTGACCTTTTTAATGGCAACGCTCGTTACATTTTAACACGTAGGCTTTCGCGACCAATATTATTCATAATCAACGTTTTTGGGTTTAGATCGCGTTATTTATAAATGTGTCGTAACCCTCCACCACCCGACACGGCCAATCAGTAAAAAAGTGTCACGTTGACAAAAGACAAATAGTTCACTGCTTTAGCCCACCGGTGTGTTGAAGCGTGAAACCACAACATTTACAATTTGAGTTCGACGTTTCGCTGGTAATTGCATCCAGCATCATCGGGCAATTCGCCAGAATGGTGAGGCTCTGCTGTGTCTCCCGTTCTTATATAGAGCAGCAGCAGGGTGACGTCATCATTAACTCATTAACGTAACAACTGGTTACTTTAATCCAGCGCAAGCAGGCAAACTTGCAGGTGCATCATTTCTTCCATTGAGCCCTAGGTGGGCACACTTTCTGGTGGCACGCGTTGGTCGTAGCATCGACTTATTAGAGTGACTCAAAGGCAAAACTGGTGGCATGCTCACACGCGACGTGAGTGGCGCTGGGAACCTGTGAATGACACGGGAGTGAAGATCCAAAGCAAAATGTGTTGAAGTGTGATGAGCGCAACGCCCGCACATTTTATGCATTTCAAATTTGTTTGGCTGATCTTTTACGAGTCAAGACCTCCTGCCTTTGCTCACCCTAAATACAATCATTCCACCCGCTAGCTCAACGCACATGTTATTATTATCATTTTATCATATTATGTAAAGTACGTCTTTCATGTTTGCCCAGGCCTCTTTTCGCTATCTACATTGTTTGTGTGGCATGGGTCACTGCTACACAAAGGGAAAATGTAAACCACGTCCGGTGAAGGCCACCAATCCCAGTAAATGTGAAACTATCAAGGACATGAAAGGAAGGGAGGTCCCTGCATTCATTTGTTCTTTGATGTTGACGAACACACTGAGCACGTGTCACGAAATAATGGTCGTCTCTAAACGGTATTTAGTGCCCCAATGCTACGGAAGTATTGACACATTTCACAGCCAAATGGTAGGCATTCGGAAGGCTTAATTTCACACTCGATATTTCTGGAACATTGCTAGGCTGGCACGGCGTTGGCATTAACAGCATAAGGCACTACCACGAGAGTGCAAGGCGCACCTCTCCTTGCTACATTAGTAGCAAACTAATTGGCGCATTGTTTACGTGACGAACGTTACTGGCTGTGTCCGGTGGTGGAGGGTTACGACACATTCATTCTTACGCGATCTAAACCAAAAACCTTTATTATGAATACATTTTTGTACCGTGTATTTAAGTACTGCACCATCATTAAAGACATCTGGTTACCGTAAGCACTCAGAACAGATGTTTTTTTGCACATCACCGCACACGCCATCACAGTACCTTGAGGACAAAATAAGGCAAGGTGGATGTGGTGGGTTTGTTCCACGTGAAATTAAGAGAGTATGTATGGGAGAGACGTGGCATTGTGTTAGCATCTTGTTCTGCTATTACCTCGGTGACTCCGGGTTAACCGGCTTTCTAGGCAAGTGACACTATCTGGAACTACCCCGTGTGTCCCCTAGGTATATTCAGCATAATTGAGTGCTTGCTGCAGCAATACTGTATGTGAATAATAATATCAGAACTGGGAATGCTAAGGCTGCCAGGCACAGAGCTGGCCAATTTACACTGGCTCATTCATGTCGTACACCGACCTTAAAGTGTGCTTGATAACAGCACTCACCCCAACAGTGTATGCAGTATAACTCAGTTATTCAAATTAGCAATGTGTTCTTGCACAGTATATGTATACACACACAACAAGTATCAGGCAACAATGATAGGAATGAGAAAATATTGAACATAAAACAACGAAAACAAAATGTATTATCGGGATAATTTATATTCAGTTGTTTGCAGAGTATCATGAGGAACAGCCATTGTCAAACTACTCCTGGATAAATGCCTTCCCAAGTAGCCACTTCTCGTGGGTCTGTGATTATAATAATTATCTACCGAGCATGCGCGCCGATTTCATCGCTCCATATCGTCGGTGCAAGATGTCCCACTCGTAATTCAAGTCAAATAGCTTGATGATGAAAATAGCTTGGGTGTTGAAGGTGGCATAGTTTTTATTATTATTAATTACATCCAAAGGCATTATCGGTTCGGTGTCAATCTCATTTTCAACATTTCACTACTGGGAAATACGATTAAGAATTTCCCATACTGTAATTCTATGCATCGCCAGTTTTAGCTACACCATAACCGATCTGTAATTTTTTTAACAAATCTATAATTACCACAGGGCAATCGTTGTGAGCAAAGATAATGGAAATACAGAAAAGGTTGCAATTTAATGTGAATGTTAACAGCAAGACTGTCTATCACCCATATACCAGTGGTGGCACATGGGTATTCCTTACATTTGTGAATCTACCAGTCGTGCTTAATTTCAGCCAGAAAATTCCAATCATGTTTTCCCAGGAATTAGTTTGGCACCCCAGATCATTTTTTTCGTAACTTTTATCAAGCTGGTCATAGGATTATATCAATATAGAGAACAATAATGTAAGATTATTATGGATAGGCACACCTGTACTCTAGTGGTAGTGCCTTGTGCCGATAATCCCTAATCCAATGCCAGCCTAGCAGCGTCCCGGAAAATACCTCGTGAGACATCAATCCCTGCCGAGAGTTAGGCTAAGAGTTAGGGCTTTATATTGGCCAAAGTTTTGAAAAAAAGCATGTGTCATCTAGACCTTGTATATAACGAGGAATTTTGTAACTTGCTCACGTAAATTTTTTTTTAAACAAAGCACCGAATCTTCTTGGTTCTTTCGGTAAAGTCACGTAGAATGGAAATAATAAAATAATAAAAAAATGTACATAATAAAATAATTCTCACGACGTTTCGGCCACAACGCAAGCAGCCGTCCTCAGGTGGATAACAGGTCTGTCGAGAAGACAGAGTCTGAATGACACACCCCAGGCTTGGAGCGTCTATTTAAGCTGGGATGGAAAAGCACCGAATCTCAATCTACATATGGATGAAGGCCTCCCCATGCCAAGTCAATACTTCACGCTGGCGAATGTGAGTTTGTGAACGGTAGGAGAGGGCAGGGACGGTTCTGATGTGGCACCTGCCACTGATGTTAGCCTTGGTCGGGAATCGAACTCGAGTGCCCAGGTTCACGGTGTGGCGGTGCACTAGCCAACCAGTGCCGGTGTTCCGAAGCGCAATCTAAAAAAAAACTGTGCAGCTGCTGTCGTGATTGACTTAACAAATTTTTTTTAAAAACCTCTGAAATGGATTTAATTGGAACGTGACAGTTCGCGCATGAAAATGATTCCATTGTTATGACATTTCGCAAACGAACGAATGTCATGTTGACAAACATGACGGCGGGTATAATATGCTGCACAACAGTTACAAACCAAGTTTACGATCTCGAATTAAGTTGTCCCAGTCGTGGTGGCGATGGTGGTGTCGCCGTTATTGAGATGCGGTGAATTCACACGCTGAGCATGCTCGAATGTCATGATCGGGTCGGCCGAATGTGATGACACACGATCCGACAATGAATTGCGCTACATATTTAACTGCACGCATACATATACCACCTCTATTCAGAGAGAGAGAGAGAGAAAGCCATCGCATTACGCATTTTTTGACATACCCTCAACTTAAATCAGAAATCCAATGCGATAATGAGAAAATCTAATTGTAATTTTGACACGTCCATTGTGTATCCTATTAGAAGAAACACACTCGGTTGAACCGTCATCACCGCTACCACCACAATGCACGCACTAACGCGCCGACGAACACAACGCGTTCTATCTCGACCGCAGTCATCGTCGTCATCATCAACCGTGGTCAATCCACTGCTGAATGAAGGCCCTTCCCCAAGCCGCTTCCGCCCCCACATTTCACGACCCTACCATGTAATAAAGACAAAGACCTCCCACCCCCTAACCCCGTGTAGCCTTCGCAGACTGTTGGGGCAAGTGCTGTTAGCGAGCACCTTCGAGGGCCGGCACATCATCATAACAATCCACCCAAGCACCCGCACATGAAACTGATTTCAGCGCTCCATCTTCACAGTGAACGCACCCCGAGGGGCACGTTGTCCACACAGTAGATTCCACCACCACCGCCACTACTATACAATCGCGGCACAAACAACATACTTGCTCCGACCTATTGTGGTGGCACCTTTGAGCACAAAAAAACGGGATTCGACCGAAACGCAACAACACATGCACGCGCGTCTTACCGTCAGTCAGCAGGCGCTGCTAATACAGCTCGCGGTCGCTGTGCACGTCAGCGGAGGCGCGTCTGCAAGCGACCCATGCCGTCTCCTCCTCCTCCTCCTGCTCCTCTTCCTCCGCTGCTGCTGCTGTGCCGATGCTGCTGCTGCTGTGCGCGTGCATCACAGGGGCGCGCTTCTGCTGTCCGAGACGGTGATGTCATTCCGGATGTGCAAGGGAGCGCGCGCGCGCGTGTGCGCACTCGTAGTCTCGTGCGCACACGCGCATGATAAACATCCACAAAGGCAATGATCCCCCCCCCCCCCCCGTATTGCCTTAACAGGGACAAGCCATGTAAGCGAGTAGAAGCCCCATGGATGCTTTGCACGGCACACGACGCGGTTGGGTCGGCCAGCAATCGCTCCCGGCCGCCTTTGTCTCCCTAGTGGCGATGTTTACGCATAGCAGCAGATGAGGCTGAGTTGATAACACGATGTAACACCATTTTGTTCCTGGGTAGTTAGTGTTATTTCGTAATTGCTTATGCCTAAAAAGTATAGAAAATGGCTATTATTCTCCACAAACTTTGCTTTTGTGACCAGGACAGTGATATTTTGAAATTTACCTATTTTCAATGAGAAAACTGGCGAATTTGTGTCTTTTCGTTCACATAAAGTCAGAACAAAAACAACATATGAATCAAAATTAACATGTATTTATACTAAAGTAATACAAAAAATTACTACAAAATATTTTAAGTGAGTAGTTTTTCGAAATTTACGATAATACTGTAAATCTATTTCAAGAATAACCCCCAAATGTAGTCTCCTATCATGTTCTCGTTATACCGTCTTTGGTAGCGACATTGAAAATCCAAAATATCCTGGTGGAAGCGCTCGCCTTGCTCCTCCGGGTACGCTCCCATGTTCTTGAATTTATCAAGATGAGCGTCAAGGATATGGACTTTGAAGGACATCCTACAGTCCATTGTGCTGTAGTACTTCACCAGAGTCTCAATCAGCTCCACATAGTTTTCGACCTTGTGATTGTCCAGGAAGCCACGAACCACTGTGACAAAGCTGTCCCAAGCCACTTTCTCCTTACTAGTGAGCTTCTTGGGGAATTCATTGCACTCCAGGATCTTCTTTATCTGTGGTCCGACGAAAACACCGGCTTTGACCTTTGCCTCAGACAGCTTAGGGAAGAAGTCTTGAAAGTACTTGAAGGCTGCCGACTCCTTATCTATAGCTTCGACAAATTGTTTCATGAGGCTCAATTTGATGTGCAGTGGTGGCATCAGCACCTTTCCTGGAGTCCACAAGTGGCTCCCACTTGACGTTGTTCCTCGCCATAGAGAACTCGGTCCGCTGTGGTCAATCCCGCCTGTGGTAGTGCGCCTTGGTGTCCCTGCTGTCCCAAAGGCAAAGATAGCAGGGAAACTTGGTAAAACCGCCTTGGAGACCCATCAGGAATGCCACCATTTAGAAGTCTCCGATGACCTCTCAGCCATACTCATCATACTTCAAGGCGTCCAGCAAGGTCTGGATGCTGTTGTAATCCTTTTTGAGGTGCACCAAGTGAGCCAGGGGAAGAGACAGGTACTTGTTCCCATTATGGAACAGCACGGCTTTGAGGCTCCTGGATGAGCTGTCAATGAAGAGGCGCCACTCATTCTGGTTACAGGCGATTCCGATTGCCTCGAACAGACTGGTCACATTGTGGCAGAAGCAGAGCCCATCTTGACGGGTGAAGAAGCTACAAAAATGTTGGTGACCTCGTCCTCTGATCTGTGACTTGTACACTTTCATACAACAAGTTCCACTGCTTGAGCCTCGACGTCAAAAGCTCGGCATTGGACTTGGTGAGACCAAGGTCTCTGATCAAGTCGTTGAGGTTTTTTTGGTTGGGGTAGTATGGGTTTATCTCCTCAGCTCCACCTCTGAAATTGTCATCTGGATCTACAACGTCTTCCTCACTCTCTGACTTGCTGCTCTCTTCTAAAGACGGCTGTTCTCTCTCCGCAGAAGTGGGTACGTGGAGCTCATGGCAGCGTGGCACCGGGGCGATGGATGAAGGAAGGTCCAGATACGAATAGCAGGTGCATTCTTGCCAGTCCGACGTTTGGAAGGGCCCACCATGCAGAAGTAGCAGTTTCTTGAGTGGTCAGTGGGTTTCCGCCAAATTCTTGGGATAGCGAACTTCATGGCTCTCTTTTCCCCTCTGTACCATCCTACAAAAATACGTCTATTTCACTCATGACTAATGTGTATGAGAGTCTCGCAACATTTTTCATACGTGATTTTTTTTTCAATAACATCGAAAATTGCAAAACATTTAAAAATTTAAAACTTTTAAAAATTTGAACACATTTTTTAACGTAAAATTTCGAGCAACAATTGTCCATCTTACCTTCCAGAGTGTTTTTTGCATTGCACGCAGATGAAATGTGCCTTGTAGGCCTCACACATCTTAGCAGATGCTTCCACAGAGTACTTTTTCGCTCTTGTCTTGATAAATTGGCCACAAATATAGCAAAATGCGTCTGCCGGATGCTTGCAGCCTCTAAATGCCATCTCAGAAAAATGCAGATATGTATCCACTTTGGCAGCTTGAACTAAACCGAACTGGTGGGCTTAAGGCCCCTGTATTTATACTACTATTTATATTACTGGAAAGTTCTAGAATGTTCTGGAAGTTACTCCAAGTTTACTCAGCACTGAATCTATCTGAAATGTTCTGGAAAATAGGTCAATTTCAAAATATCACTATCCTGGTCACAAAAGCAAAGTTTGTGGAGAATAATAGCCATTTTCTGTACTTTTGAGGCATAAGTAATGAGGAAATAATACTTACTACCCAGGAACAAAACAATTGTTACACAGTGTAATAGTCATGCGCTAACCGCTGCACCACCGTTCCCCACTACATACACACAAAAACAAATATCTCTCGTATAGCCTTAACAGACTGTAGGGTCAAGTGTTGTTACCGAGCACCTATAAAGGGCTCGCACGGCACACGAGAGGCTGGGTGGCCAGCACCGCCTCAGTCTCCCCAGTGCTGATGTTTACACACCGCACTGAGTTCTCATTAAAGGCTGAGTCAACCAAAGAGAGGCCTAGGTCCAGTCCAGATATTCGCCACAAGTTAATGGCTGTGAAGGGAAGTGGAATCGAACTCGGGTCGACGTGTTTAAAGTCCAGTGCGCTAACCACTGCGCGACCGCTTCCCAATCACACTCACAAAAATACCCCGTATAGCCTTTGCACAGATTGTTGGGGCAACACACATACACGCGCGCACTTTGTCAAATAGAATCACGTGATCGCGTCGCAGCGGCCGGCCACAAGTGACGCCTTTGGCTAAAGAGCCTGGTTTATGAAAAATGTTCATGGAAAATTATCAGATTATGCACATTTACACATGTATTGAGTCAGCGTGCTGATAACCCCCTCCCGCCGCCGCATGTCATAAAATGTATATAATTTAAATTTTTAAACTCATTCCTGCGGAGGGAGCTGGTAGGAACGTTGGGTTGCTAGGTCAATGGCCAGGGTCAACGGCGGCGTGGTGTATTCCGCAAATATGGCCGACTGTGAGGGCGGGCACAAGCCGGCGTGAGTAGGTTAGACGTTGAGTTTTATAAGGGCACCACGGGGTGACCAGCCCCTCCTCACCCAGCCCCACCCCTCCCACCCAGCCCCACCCTCCCCACCCAGCCCCTCCCCACCCTCCCCACCCAGTCCCTCCCCACCCTCCCCTCTCTAGCCAGCCCCACCCCTCCCATTTTTGGATTCACGACGGACGGACGGACACAATAATTCCCTGTGGGCTGGTGGAACCAGGTGGTTCCTACCAGTATTAACATTGTTGAAAGTTACGATTTTTCAAAGACAATGCATATACAGTATTACCCTAAAGCATGTTTTTGTTTGCATGTTCACCACAAGCACGTGTGGTTAATAGAGACATGATTCCTAACAAAAGGTTTCTATTTGGTGTTTGAACATCTTAACGTCTGTTTTTATTGCCAGAAAGGGTAAAACCTTTTCTTATTTTTCCATACGATTTTTCTCTTCATCGTGAAACCGAATTAAAATTTCGTACATTGTATTCCACATTTAGGCATCAATTTAACTTGGTTAAAGGGTTGCGCACATTCATATTTTTAATAAGACGAAATGCGAGATGCCACCCACCACCTTGTGTGTAGCTGAGCTCACACTTGCATCACGGTACCGTTGATGATTTCAGAAGGGTCGAAATAACTCGTGTCGTTGCACAAGGATGTTTGGGGGCTTGTTTAAAACGTGTTTCAGCCACACACACATACACACTGTGAAGCATCGCCTCCCCGTGGACACGCGAATAGTTCAATACAAGCGTGTTGCAAACCAAAAAAACACCTGCAATTCCACCAGGCAAAGAAGGCCATTAACAGTTGTTTCGTGAGACATGATATGACAGTACTGAGAATCCAGGTTTAACACGTAGACTTTTATGATTGAGTATTCCCCCACCCCGCCCCCTTATATTCATGGTGACTTTTCACCAGGTTCACCGTTTTCTTCCCACGTGAAGTCAAACATTAATGAATGCCATTCATGCCCAACATGCCAATGTAGCAGCACCCTCCTGAATTTTTTTTAAAATCTTGAGGCTCATTGAGGTTTTCCTTGGTAAATGACACGCGTTCCATATGTGCCGCCACTGGGTCTTGGACAGCTCACGCCATTCTTGGGTAATTTTATTATGGAGGTATCGGCTGACTGTTGAGCTTTAATCACCGTATATCGTGCAAATTGCCTACGTGGGTTGTACCATAACCTGCAGGTTATTCACATATAACGTAAAAAGAAACTCATTCGCAATGTCTTCCAAAATGCGAAATTGCCACGGAAATTGAATTTTATTATTACAATGTGTGTTAAAAGCAGGTAAATTAGTGGGCCATATTCTGCACTTGGAAAATAATCCTTAATTTACTGATGTCGAGGCAGTGTTGATAATGGATCAAGACCACTATCTTTGGCAATTTCTGAGTTTATAATTATTCACATTAAGCGATGTTCCATCCACTAATTAAAAGCAGTTCTACAATATAATTATTATTCTGGGATTACATTTTCGTCGCCTGTGACAAATTCACCCGGAATGTGCCCCACCTTCTCATATCTCAGAAGCTAAGCAGGTTTGAGCCTGGATAGTGTTCAGATGGGTGATTCTCCTCGGGCTTCTGGGAGGGTGTGAGGTGCAGTACAGTACTACAACATCCGTTATTATACAGAATTGTACTTGTGTCTCCACGTCGATGCGATCTTCGCCATCCGTACGGACCAGCGAGGTGAAGAATGGTGAAACACAATAATGTGTGAATGGTAAAATAACCCCTGCGACCTGAAACCCGTACAAGGCCCTCACCCAAAAGTGGGTTGAGATTCACGGATGCACCTACGTATAATTGCAGCGTGCATTTCGACCTTTGTCGTATTTATTGTCTGTATTACTCCTTGTACGTGGAGGACTCATGGTCCAAAAACAAATTCTGATTCGACTCAAGAAATCGCAACTAGGTCCAGGCTTGGCTTGCTTATAAACACTTGTGCCTGGAAATAAAATGCTGGTTCAGGAGACGCATAGGCTAAAGAATCTGGATTTTGTTCAAAACAAATATGGTAATTAAACAAACTCGTGAATGGTGCATTTAGAGTTGACGTGTTTAGACAAATGCTTGCTGATTAACACAAGTCCGTGAAGGCCAGTAGGTCGCTGGACTGATCTTCTTTCACGCGGAGATAAGGGGAGGTCATTTATTTTATTTGCTGTGCTAAATAGTAAGGACATGTGCATCAGCATCACAATGGTATGTCCTTAAACCATTGTTTAAGGACATACCATTGTTTAAGGACAGGCATAAACTGTTATCTATTTGTAGAGTATAATGCATTGTAAAATCAGCTTCTGGGTCAGGGTCTTCCCCACGCCGTGCGGGTCGTGCGGGGTTATTTATCCATACGTGTACATCATCAAGGTGGTCATTGCAGATTTATGAGGGGGAGAAAATAATAATGCTCTGGCCATATTACGGTAAAAATAATAGCCTAGTTTCTGCACTGCCCTCTGCTGACAACGTAGCCTCGCAACAATATTGATCCATTACTGTATAAACTGTTCCTTGCTCAAATGAGTGTAAATGTCCCCCGTTCATAGTCCTCAAAAAACATTGGTGAGAATTCCACATTCCTATGGCGGAGTGTAGTCTTTCCGCAGGACAACCACAGTTGACTTAAATTTCGATGTAAAGCTTTCGTGACTGCAGGGATTCATCTTCTTGGTTCTTTCGGTAAAGTCACGTAGAATGGAAATAATAAAATAAAAATTAAAAACGTAATAAAATAATTCTCACGACGTTTCGGCAACAACGCAAGCAGCCGTCCTCAGGTGACTCTACCGAAAGAACCAAGAAGATGAACACAGTTGACTTCTCCACGATGTGGCGCAATATATATTTTATCGACCTCGGATGGATGATGGGCCGAGTCAACCAATCTGGATTTGATAGGTGTGTAACGATTTCACAATGACCACGACACTCACAATAATGCCAATTTTTTTTATTCTGATTCGAATCTCGACGTTGAATTAATCGAATTGCCTGATAGGTGTGTGTGTTAATGGTTTCGTGGGGAGTGGCAGTGTAGCGCTTGGCGCGAGGCGTTACGAACCCAGCCACCCGAGTTCGATTCCCACTCACGGCTAAGGGGCCGTCCATAAATGACGTCACGCGATTTTAGACGATTTTTGACCCCCCCCCCTTCGTCACATGGCGTCACAAAAAGTCAGACCCCCCCCCTCAAATATGACGTCACAAAGCTCTGCCCGCCCCCCCCAAAAAATATAAACATGCATCAAATCGAATTACCGAAAGAACCAAGAATATGCTTCAAATCGCTTTAAACTATTGTCATTGTAGTGCGTATTTAATGTGGCGCTGCACTCTGATGTTGTAGGAGAAAACATTTATTAAAAAGTCTATTTAATTAAGTGGAACGTGTTGTCTATATTTATTTAAAGTTGCGCATTTTTATGTGACGTCACATTTCTCACCCCCCCCCCCACATCGTCACAAATGTCTGACCCCCCCCCCCACCCCTAGGTGCGTGACGTCATTTATGGACGGCCCCTAACACCGGTGACGATTATCTGAACCGGTCATGGGCCTCCCTGGGTCGACTCAGCCTCAAATGACTACGCGGTGTGTAAAAATCATCGCCACTGGGGAGACAGCACTTGCCCCCAACACTGTCAAAGGCTATACGGGGGGTGGTGGAACCTTTGTCTTTGTTTATGGTCGTGCAGCCACCCCAAGCACACTCGGCTGTTGTCATCACGTGCTGGAGAACAGGGGGGGGTGGTCACGGCCACTGCACCCACGTGCTCCTTCCCCACGGCCAATTGCTCTGCAGGGTGAGCACGTGACTTCCCCCCCCCCCCCGTTCGCCGCAGCGATCCCAATGATACGTGGCCGGAGTGGGCGTAGCCGGCGGGAGGAGGAGGGGTGGGGAGTAGGGGGGTAGGG